CGGTTATGGAAGATCTGAGGAGCAGGAATGTCAGAGACGGGAAGAAACGGGCATTAGACAAGAAGTGGTGGAATAAACTTATCAAGCTTAGGGCCTGAAGGTCTGTTTATATATATATTTATATAGTATACATGTGCCGAGATACAAATTATCTCCTTTTAATTAATAAAAGTCTCAAAGCACCGCCCCTTTAGACGTCGTTAATGGTCGCGTAGAGGACGGTAAGATCAGAGAGACTTTTTCTGCCCTTTTACAAAATCACGTGTGGCTATTGTCCATCCATCTTGCTCTCCGCCATTGCGAATGACGTTAAAATACACCGTGTGTCCGCTTTTATCAGCCATCTAGAGCTGTTTTAAATAGATGCGGCGCAGTAAACACAAGGTGAACGGAGTGGAGTAAAAACAAATCACGGAAAGAAGTGGTAACTTCAATGAAATTACTTGGTCAGGATACACAGGGATATACTGACTGTTTTTCTGTTGTTGAGATAGTTGCGAAAAGATTATGAGGTTCACTAATTCACTTCTAATATGCCCACGTCAGAACGAATTTTTCCCTGCAAAAACATAACGCGGATCCAAGAAAACAGCATAATACCATTACAAAACATAGAGACAAAGAGTGACACGTTGGTTCGGTGAGAACTGTATTTTTTATGTGATCAGCACGTTGCTGTGACAGTGTGACACGTGGTTTTAAAAAACCTTAACAGAATCGATCATTTTACCCCTGAGGATAATCCATATAACGTATAACTCTTCATCAGAGAAGAATCTGAAATCTTATCTCGATGTTGATAAAAATAGTAATAATAATAATAATGGCATTTATCTAGATAGGCGAAGTTCATCTTGACAGTTGTTCTTCCTCTCAACCCACAAATATAAATAAAACACTATGTCAGTAAGAACCTTAACAGGGTAGAGGAAAAAATCTCCTTTGCTGATCAAACATGTTTTTGGCTTCAGATTTGAACCTAGAAAATTTATATATTTTATGATTTGATGACAGACCATTCTACATTTTGCATATTTGGAAACTGATAGCACGCGGAAAGAGTTAAGTGCGGAATATAGGAGGTGTTAGCAGACCTCTGGATCTGAGGTTTATAATATGTAGATCAATACGAAATGTAATCCTATTAAATAAGTAGTAAAATAATTCTATGGAAAACAGACAGCGCGTGTAATGTTCTACTGTTATCCATATTTAGCCCACCAACGTCATACAGTTTCTGAGATATTCTTATAAAAGCTGCACTGTCGCGTTCCGAAATCATTTATTTCCTGGCTTCTGTCCTATTGATTTTATCATGTATTATTTCATTTGATAAAAGAAATGATTGTAGAATCCTGTAAAATAAAAATCGTATAAGTTTTAAGTAGCTTAGATACGTCTCCAGACTTGCGATTCTCTATTCAGTTTTTGAACTATTCAGCTGATAATACAAATTTACGGCATGCAATATACAAGGTAAATGGATCTGAAGCAAACACAAATCATCGAAAGAAGTATAGTGGCTATGACAGTAGAATTATTTGCTCACGGTGAATAGAGAGACACGTGTTATTTTTTAGTTGGGAGAAGATCGGGGTATTCTTATTGTAAACGCTCTTTTGCAATCGACCGTTGAATAAAAGGTTGAGCGCCAGTGAGTTGAGAGAGACTCAGTAGAGAAGGAAGCAAGCCTGTCTGATCAATTGCCAGGAATGAGTGGTTTGTAGAACATCATCATATAGCACAGCTAATTGATAAGGTATGAGAGCCAGTGTTAGTGTAAAAGTGACGGTTGAGGATTTCAAGACTGTACGTCATTTTGGAATATGTTTTTAAATGAAATAGAAAGTAGTGTGATACCTCATTTTGGAGCTGCTTATAAGAACTGCACAACTGTAGATCAAGAAATCACTATCACTGAAAATTGACGAAGAAGTGACAGACTATCAAATTTGAGCATTTAGTCACTCGTGTACGGATATGTAAGGGAATGTAGAACATTTCACATAAAAAAAATCTCTCAGTTTTTTCAAACCCCAGCCGCCATCTTAAAATTTTCTATGCTAAAATATGGTTTTGATGCATTAATTCTAATATATATATATATATAAGTTTCAGCTTGCTTACTTGAGCCGTTCAAAAATAGGTATGTTCCTTTTCAAAGAGCACTGCATAAGAAAGGACGTATTTGGCCGTGGAGTTCTAGCTTAGATTTTGTGCCACATCTCTGGAGGTTCGGTTTTTAGCAAAGCTTTTTCAAACCTCTACTCACAAGTAAAGTTAGTATTCCACATAAGATTTTCTTCGTACTTTTATCTAAGGAACAAATGTGCTAAAGTTTAAAGGTAACGGTAAGTTAGTGGAAATCAAGCGACATCACTACCTGTCCACCGGGTTATGATTGATAATATCATTGTTTATATATCGCACGAAAATTTTACTTGCCTCGAATCTCGGGCATCTCCACACCAGGTCTCTGGATCCGGTTCTGGTGCCTGCATCTCTTCCAGCAACACCGTTCTACCGCTTCGCTACTCTCGCCGTCGCTGGGCAGACGTCACTGCCGTAGGCTGGAGGAGCAACCAGCCATGTTTTTGCTTGTTGTCGCTAGTTTTTCCGTCTCGATCTGTCACATCCACTTTTGCGAGTTTATTACCGACGACTGTCACTTTTTGTCTCCGGCCCTGTCACCACACCCGACGACTGCGATGACGCATCTCTCTTGCTCGCGTTATTACTGGTGGTTGAGAAAAGAATTTAGCTGACTCCAGCCTACTACGTCCTGAAATGAAACTTGACTTAAATCATTCCTGAAATTATTTTTGCCCACATTCCATGTCTCGTGGTTCTTGTTATGAAAGGTGTCTCAGAATCCATGCTAGATTTCCTACGCGATGCCGTCATCAGTTCGCAAATGATTAAGTTCAGCGCAATTTAAATTCTCTGAGAACAAAGCCAGTTTCGGACATGTGTAACCCAGAAATTAAATGTATTAGGTCAGTCAAATAGGAACATACAATTAGTCCGTAGACATTTTTCCCTGCCCTACCGTCCACGTGGCAACGTTGTCCCTTTCCACATCTGCGCGGCATCGTGCAAGGTAAAAGTATATGTTCTTTGCGCTTCAGTACGAAAAGATTTAATATATAAGCCGGACATGGTTCACCAAGTAGTGGGCTTAGATAGGCAGGAGTATGCGTATCGGAAAAATTTCTCTATCATTGAAAGTTTTAAAGTCAAATGTACGGCTAATATGTGCATATAAATCCAAAAAATATATATACCCTTCCCACCCCTACAACTCCCAACCCCCAAATTCCCAGAAAAACTTTTCTAAAAATGATCAGGACCTCTAAAAATTTTTTCTTTTTTGGCCTTTTTCTCCGCCATCATTGGACCAATTTTAAAAAACTGCAAAGCTTTTGCGTCCTTGGCACTGTAGTAACATTTTGTAAAAATTTCAATAAAATAATTTACCAAAACATATAGCTAATGTAAAAATTCGTTTATACGCAGATGAAGCAACAGTCCTTGTTGTTGGTGATTCAGAGGATGCAAAATAAAGACTTCTAATACCTGACATTCAGGATTGGTGTAACAAAAACAAGCTTAGGTTAAGCAATCAGGAAGCAAACATTAAACAACTAAAACTCGCTCTAATTTCAAGATAAATGTTAACAGCATAGACATTCAGGAAGAATTAACTGCCATTTTTCTAGGAAATGCCCTGGACAGTGACATTATGTGGGAACAAAAAATTGTGGCAATCTCAAAAAAAATTATATAAAGCTTTTGTATAAAACACATTGAAAAACAACATCGATTTCAAGTCGCCATTAGCGGTGAATTATGCTTTTATGTATTCTTATATTGCGATAACATCAAAAAAGTGATTCTGACACTCATATTCTTAGTCTTAGTCTTAGTTATGATGATTCCTCTCTGTCGAGATATGTTTAAGAACAACATCTTCACTGTCATAACAGTGAATCATTACAAACTATTATCCTATATAATACCTCAAGGCTTTGACCATACTAATGGAACGAGAAACAGAAGTGTAATATGTTTCGAGAAGTTCAATTACACTTACTTCATCGCCTGACACTGCTGGATGGCGTCTCTTCAACTATCTTCCGGTATATATTCACGACATAAAAATCTATAGCATTTCAAGATGTCAGCTAAGAGCACTGCTAGGTGCACTCTTTATAAAATACATGAATTTTTTGATCTATACTATATCCCTCTGATACTTTGTAATTCATCTTTGTGTTGTTTGCCAAATTTATTGTAAATCTGCTGTATTTTGTTCATATACATATTATTTAGTAGTTTCTGTGTACCTGACTTGACTTATTTGTTATTCACAGTCTACAGGTTTAATGTCTAAGAGTGGCAGAATTCCGATGATTTCTTTTTTTAGCCCACGAATGTCTGTGGACTTCTTATGCATAAATTGTCCAATATGGATATAGTTAACCATACGATCTGAAAAGATGGTGCCACATCTGATAAACCCCCTGGAGTGGTTCAATGCTACATTTCTAGGTGATGTACGTTCCTGGTTCGGTGATCAGAAGTGGAGCGCTAGATTTTTTGGTTTGTACACCATTGGATTTCTTTTTACATGGTTATTCTAAGTAGAAGCTGTATACCAACAAGTCCACAGAAGGCCATAGATTAAAAGAGTAAACCCTAAGCTGCTTCAACAAAAAGCCACACCTATGCAATATGGTCATGAATTTCTACGAAAGAGTGCATGTGTGTGTGCAGAACCGGGGAGGCCTGTTATTCATTACTAGTATAAAGCTTATAATGTGTACTTTATAATCTAAAAAAACATAGTCTAAGCAGGAAAAATAGTTTATTTATTTAACTCAAATCTTGCCTGAATTTTTGGACATCCCTTTACAACTGGTAAGTCTGTATGTACGAGGGATGTCTTTTAAGTTCTGCATATGGAAATAAAACAACACAGTAGGTAGTTTTAAATGACTTTATTGTTTTTCGAAGTATTCTCCACGAAGACTAATACACATCTGCATGCGCTCGAACCAATTTTCGAAGCACTTATTCCACTCTTTTGCTGGCAGATCCAAAACGGCATTTTTGAATGCGTCAACTGCTTCTCCTGGTGACTGGAATCTTTGACCACGCAGACTGTTTTTAATTTTCGGGAAAGTAAAGAAATCGTTAGGACTTAGATCGAAACTATATGGAGGATGGTCCAATAATTCAACGTTTTCTTCCGTTAAGTACTGCCTTGTTTTTTGGGCTGTGTGCGAGCTTGCATGGTCTTCGTGGAGGATGATTCTTCTTTCGGGGTTCATTTTTCGAAGCTCGGTGATGAATTTTAGCAAACAAATGGTGGTATACCAATCCGCAGTAACAGTTCTTTCCTCGTTAAGAGGAATTGTTGCAATATGATCCGCTTTTGACACAAATGTCGCGACCACCTTTATCGAAACACTTCGAGAACGGATGACTTTTGTTGGCTTTTCTTCACCTTGGAACACCCAAACAGCCAACTGTCGTTTATTTTCTGGTACATAACAGTAAATCCACGATTCATCACCACTAGCAATGCTGTACACATTTTTTGAGTTTCCGGAATTGAAACGGTCAAGCGTTTTTTGACACCAATTAACCCTGGCTGCTTTCTGCTCTTCAGTCAACAGGTGGGGTATCGAACGAGAAATTAATTTTCTTACTCCTAATCCTTCATGTAAAATTTTTTGAATTGAGGTCTTTGAGATCTTCAAGGACTCCTCAATCTCGCGATATGTCACATGTCTATCTTCAATAATGAGTTTGCGCACAGCATCGACGTTTTCCTGGGTGACTGCCGTTTTTGGTGCACGTACCCTGGGATCGTGGCTAAGACCCACCCGTCCACGTTTGAATTCTCCATACCAACGGGAAATTGTCGACTGATGTGGCGCTTCGTTGCCGAAAACTGACAGTAACTCAGCAAGGCATTCTTGTTGCGATAATTGTCTCTGAAGGTTGTAATAAATTATGGCGCGAAAATGTTCTCGGTTGAGTTCCATTTTTCTAATGACTTGGTGACACTTAAAAATTAACTGTTGTTAGAACACCGCACGTATCGTTGTGAAACTTTGAATTTAAGTTTACTGAAGAGTGAGGTTAAGATTCAGTATTGACGTTCGATCCGCGCGGCCTACTAAGTTTCTATATGCAAAACTTAAAAGACATCCCTCGAAAGTATGTATGTGGAGAAGAATTTTGGAACTGAATTCCGGACTAGTGAACCTTGATGTATGGTTTGCGTGACAGTACAAAATGAATTAAATGTCGCCATTTTGAATCGAAAATGTCGTGTCACCTTTTCAACCCGTTTCGACTCCTCTGGTATGGGTATCAAATGAAAGGGCTTCATGAGGAAAAACCATAATAAGCAAGGTGACGGCATTCTAGATACAACATGGCGATTGCCTCTGAATGGCTATCTATAAACATAACAAGCAAATAAGGTTATTCTAAATTCCGTATGGTGCATTATTAGTTATTAAAAGGGATCATAGCTTCCAATAAATCTTAAAATCCTCGAAATAAGCCTCAACTGACTGTTTAATCAGTGCCTTCCAAACTGATTGATACGTTTCCTTGGATGTACTCAAACACATTATTCTGCTTCCAAATAAAACGAGCAGTGAAGTTTTGAAAGTTGCTTTTTGAATGTCGTAAAAATGGTGCCACCCATTTCCGACGGTATGGCTGCGGTCTGTAATCGGTAATCTCGACTGTAATACTGCATCATCTATAAGCCAGTTTTCCCATTCGTGTAATTTCGCAAACTGGGTAACAACTGACATCTTGTGCCAATGCTGAAAACGTCACCATCAGTCAGACAATAAGTTTTTATCACGAATTCTTAAATATAACGCTGCTTAGCTATATACTGAATTAATTTTGTCAGCCTCCTGTAAGAAACCGTTCGGGGCCATCAGAGAGGCTCTTGTTGGAAAAACACAGGAACATCAGTCTATCAGATAGGTAAATGACATTGCAGTTGTGTAGTCCTCCATTTTGGTATAATTCTTTGTTTAGTTAAACAGACTACAGCTCTACGTGTACATCTGCATTAATCTGACGTACTGAAGCATCTACCATTGTGAATAGTTTTTAGGTGTAATTGGGTTAACCTTGGCATAATGTAAAAATGGAGCTTATATTGTGCGCAAAGTTACAAAATCCTCCTTAGTGCCATTTTACCAGCAAGTGGGAAAGCATAGATTTAAAACAATATAACTAGTACTGTGGAATTAAGGTTTAGTAGCTTTTTGTGAAGCGGACAGCTTTAAAAGAACGGCACAACAAAGAAAAGCTAATGTGTTAAGTCCGGTCCTGACTCGCACACAGCAGCAGTTGCAGCTTGCAGCGGGTACGACAAAAACTCCAAGGTAAAAAGTGGACTTACAGGATAACTGGCCAGAGTGTCCGATAAATAACTCATTATTTAATTTGTAACCATTGAATGGCGTTGATTAAGTCAGCGTAAGCGATGTCAAAATATTTATTTCGGTGCGACGTCTGGCAATTACGGTATCTTGATTTATTTGGAGATCTTCCTCGGGAGATAAGCCGCACGCAACAAAGTCTGCCTGGCAGCCTCCTCCGAGCACATATGCAGGCGGTTGTACTTTTCCAGCTGTTGTAGAAATACGTGGTACAAGTGATATACAAATGCGTTAAGTGGCGAACGACGGATTGCATTTTGCAGCGAGTACTGGGTACATCGTCTTCAAGCTCCAAAACATCAAGGTAGCCTATTGGTTGCTAGGCGCCGGTAGATTTAAAGATTGTTTGGCTGCTATTTTGTAGTTATGATAACAAAGCTTACTAGCCAGCTAGTTAGCGAGCTGAAATCACAGAGGCCAGCACCAAGATATTCGCTAAAGAATCGAAAATGAGTTGTGTTATCGACACCTCCGCCTATGACGAGGTAATAAATATTAACGATAATGATCATGATAAATGACCAGTTTTGCTTTTAATGCATTATCGAAAGATATTGTGTCAAGTGACTAGAGATACAGACGGGTGAGAGGTCCTACCCCTCGGAAAATGATGGAACTTTCACACAAATACTAATATGCCAAGGTCAAAGGAGCTCTGTAGATTTTGAAAATCGCTCCAGTAGCGATGGAGAAAATGGCCAAAAACGAAAAAATAGAAATCGCTTTAACTTCCTTTTTTTACGTTTCAGAGGGTACTGACCATTTCTAAATATTCTGGGGCTGAAATTTGAATGTTGGGGTTGTAGCGGGTAGGGAAAGTATATACCATTTTTTTTTGCTAACAGTTTACAAGTTTGGAACCCTGGTAATTCTACGCAAATATTAAATATATTTCATACATCATAGATTTTCCACCCAACTAACAATTGTCACTCCTATTAGAGTTGCAAGAACGATTATACAGTCTTCCTTTCACAGCATTGTATGCTGTAAGAACATTGGCAAAACGCTAAAAAACAGCTATACAAGCAGCGAAATGGGCACACCTAATACGACACTTCAGTCATTTAAGAGGTTGTATAAGGGCTGCAGGTAACAGTTATACAACAAAAGTGTAAACCTCTTGCAGCCGCTATAGAACATTCGCGTCGATGCAAGATTCAGTTTTTGTCAACAAAGTAGTTACGCAATTTGTACGGGCTTCGTATTTGATTCATAATTTAATAATGATCAAAAGTATGTTTAGATTTTTAAGATGAAAAACTGAATTTATCTACGTTAAACCTTCCACAAATCCTATATATATTTAGACACAATAACACTAATGTTTATCACTTTATATCTGTAATGTCGACCTGAAACATAATTAATTAATTTTCAGTAGAAGAATATATGTTTGCCCAATATGGCGGGTATGTATAATCATGGCATCGTTCATGTTGTCTTTGGTTAATTAGAATATTTTGGTGTTATCTGCAAGTGTTATACAACAATTTGACAAATCTCTAATATGAAATACGGACAGAGTCGAATGATTTACCCAGAATTTCTACCAGATCTATATCTGCTGTTTGAACATTTGATAAAACCTTTTAAACCAATATGCATGTCTTAAAATATTGGGCATGGCATTGTTACTAAAAAGATGACAGCAAACAGTTAGGTTATGGTAAATTTGTATAAAAGCATATTTAGCAACAAATGTCTGCAGAGCACAGCAATTTTGTACTATAAAAGTTGTAATATTGTTGCAGATGTACAACCTTTAACAGTTACTAAACGACAGTTGTATAAGTGCTTCCGTTGGGAGAAATTTGTTGGCTAAAGTAGTAAATACAACAAGGCTTGTTGTATAAACATTACCATGGATGCCACAACACAACTACTTTCACTACCCCGCAAATATGCCGTATAAAATAGTTGTATAAACGTTTATGCAACCGTTCAAAATTTGTCCTATAAGGTGTTATATAACTATGCTATAAGAATATTTTAAACACCTAATTTTAAAGTAAATATGCCACAGTTAAAGCAAATTTGCATTCCACACAACAACATCTTGGTGTTCAGGCAACAACAATAGAGAGCTTTTACGGCTGCACAGTTCTTTTACCAAATGCTTATAGCACTACTTTGCTAGTTTAGCAGTACAAATGCTTTCAAAAGTTGAATGTTGAAAATATATTTTACGCGTGCCTGAAAATTCAACAAGCTTATGTATGACTTGATCCAATTACTCCTTTGTTTTACATGTTCGTAGTCAATGTTTTTCCAAAAGGGACTATTTTATGCCGAATATAATCTCTTAAGAATTGATGATAGCGTTGCATAGGAAGTGCAGGTCAACCTACTTGACGCCATTTTTTTTCAAAAATGCACTAGTTTTATTTTTATCAACCAAGATAGTTCCTAGAGTATTGATCCTACAGAAAAAAATGTATGTGGCAGAAGCACAGACCGGAAGAAAGGAACGTTTTCATCCTCTCCCATCACTATCACAGTCTAGGACTTTTAGTATGTATTTTCAAGACTACGCGAATTATTTGGTCTGATCGACGATTTTTAAGCCAACTTTCTTAGACTGTAGGCCCCATAATGAGAGGTGTTTTGTGTCAGAGCCTTGAAGTTAGTATGCTGTAGAGGATGTATATTCTGTGTTTAAAAACTTATTCTGCGCCACTCATTCACTTTCCTTGGTCTGTTAAATAAATAAATAATACTAATAACAGAAATAATTATGATCATGATAATAATAATTATAATAATCATACACTTAGGTAGACGTAGAATAGTGGGAGATTTTAGAATGAAAGAATATGAATAGACAAATGAAACAAACAAACCTATCTTTACACTACAAACTTACTTATCCTACTTGTTAACCTGTTATATGCTAATTTATAATTTACATGTATCTACCGTGCAAATATTGCTTATGTGCTATCTTAAATTTTCATGCCGGTATTTGTTCAAGTTCTAAAGAAGGTGAGTTGAAATTCCTGATTGATATGTAAAGTATGAAGGTTTGATCTAAAATGTATTTCGTCCTGAAGGTATACTGGAGATGTAGAATCATTCATTATGTAAAAAAATCGTGATATTATGTTCTAATGCTACTAAAATTTGTAAACAATTCAAGGCCTTCATTTATTCAGATATATATATATATATATATATATATAGGTGAAAAATTAAAGCTTCCGCCTTTTGTTGGGTACTTCGACAAGATTTAAGCAAAGAGGACTCTTTATACTTTTTTTAATTCTCTCTAGCTTTCAATGGACTTTGCCATCATCATCAGGAGCTGCAATTACAATGATAACAGTAGCAACAAAGGTGTAAAATGAATTTAAATTGACTCAACTTACAGTAGTATGTGAGGATGTTGCTAATTGTTGTTTACGTATAGGATGAGGGAAACGTCCAGTAACATGGTGAGAGCTGGATAGATTGTACAATAGTCAAACTTATATAAAATATGACAAGAACAAGTTAAAAACAGATTAAAAATTATTTAAAAAATTAGAGCATTACATCGTGAAGCCACCTGATGATTGCACAAATTAGTG